GAAATGTGAAGAGGAGCTACATAGGCGCTCCAGCTATGCAAACCCAAGGGGAAACCAAAGTCTTCCTTGTGCTCTTACACAGGAGAAATGCATGTGTTAGGATTATTATGTTTTCAGATATCTTCTAACCTCCACACTTCAATGTAATCATTAGTAAGATATTTTTCCTTTTTTAATACAGTCTTTGCTTGATAAAAACAACAACAGGCCAGGCACAGTGGCTTATGCCTGTAATCCCAGCACTTTGGGAGGCTGAGGCAGGCGGATCACGAGGTCAGGAGATAGAGATCATCTTGGCTAACACGGTGAAACCCCGTCTCTACTAAAAATACAAAAAATTAGCCGGTGTGGTGGCGGGTGCCTGTAGTCCCAGCTACTCGGGAGGCTAAGGCAGGAGAATAGCATGAACCTGGGAGGCGGAGCTTGCAGTGAGCTGAGATCGCACCACTGCACTCGAGCCTGGGCAACAGAGCAAGACTCCGTGTCAAACAACAACAACAACAACAATAACAAAAAACTACTCTCTTCTATGCTTTAGTAAAGATGCCTATGGCTGGGCCATTTCTCCTGGTCTGGAATATCCATTTTTCTTCTTGGCTCCTATCTATCCTTGATGGTATGCTACCCCAAATGTGATTTCAGTTCAAAATCCTGCTCTGTCGCTAACATATTCTTATTGTGTATATCATCAGCAATTATTCACAGATTTTACCAATCATGTTTTAGATTCCAGCAGAACTCTAAGATCCTTAAAGGAAGAGACTAATTTTGAGCCTTTGTAACACCCAGTAGAGTATTTTCTAAATAGATTAAGGATGAGTGAATGTATTCCTCTAGAGTTGTGCTGTCCACTCTATATTTTGTTTCTCTATGTTGCGTTTTGGCAACTAGTCATTGGGGGTTACTTAAAGTAAATAACACGAGAAATTCAGGTCCTCAGTTGCATGAGTCACATCTCATGAGCCCAGTTTCCAGCTGTGGCTCCCATCGGACGCAGTATAGTTACAGAACATTTCCCTCCTGGCAGAAAGGCTTGCTGGATCCACAGTGCTGGGCTAGAGAGCAGACAGGTGTACAGTGCTCAAGGACCATGTGCTTCTCTTCCACGTGCATGGCGGCTCACACAAGTGGGAGAGAGGGTGGGTGCTTATTTTGTCTTTTGTCTGAAGGTTTCAGATAAGCTTCGATGTGCCAACTATGACCATTTGCTCTCACTTCACAGACACATGGGACAGTCTATTGTGAGTCAAACAGCAAACTTTGGTTTGCTGCTTGCTCTGTCCTTGAACAGCTATGTCATCTGCAGTGTTTTTTAAATAAGGCACCATCGATCACAAAAGGGCACATCATTCGGCCCAGCTCCCAGAGCTCAGAGAGAAGAGTCAAGGGCCCTGCCAAGCGCCACAAGCAATGCCATGAAACTGCCTGCCAGGCATGGCTGTGAAGAGGTGACCATTCTCCTCTCATACACAGGCACCTTGCCACGTGGCCAGCTGCACCAGGGTCCTTAACTGCTACTCACTGTTGGCATCACAGCAAAGGACACGAGGGAGAAAGGGGATAAAGGAGGATCAGGGAAGGTGGTGATCTATCTGCCAGATATTGCTGAAAAGGGATATGAAGAGGAGCCACATGGATGGCCCGGCTATGAAAACCCACAGGGAAAAGTCTTCCTTTTTATGCTCTTACACAGTAGAAATGCACGAGTTAGGATTACTATGTTTTCAAAAAAATGCTCTTTAAGCACCAACAAGGCAATTTTAAACTGCAAATATCTGCATCACAAAATCAAGGTTGCCCCCTTCTACCATTTTAACACTATTAAAGGAAGCTCTTAATATATTAAATGCTGCATTTATTAATCACTGAAATTCCCTTATAGCCGATGGTATAAGCATTATTTTCAAACGTAATGTATTCCAGGATAACACTATTGTGCTTTCTACCTATAGACTGTCTATCAATCACTTTTCAAACATCTCACCAGTCGCCTGAGCATCTATATAAGGAGTGCTTTCAGGGGACATTTCCTAGGAGGTATCATTTACCTTGCTCCTTTACATTGCTTTAAGTCTCCATCTACTAATGAAAAGTGACAGCAAATAGTATATAAATTATAGCAGTTTTTAAAAAAAGAAATAGAATCAGAGTAAAGAGTGAATAATCACTAAGACAAAAAGGACCAAATAATCTCTAACGTACAGCTTTTCAAGGATAAAAATAGATTCTAGCTCAAAAAACAAAACAAAACAAAATGATGCACTGCTGTCCCATATTATATAGGCATATCTTATTTTATTGTGCTTCACAGATTGTAGTTTTTACAAATTCAAAGTTTTTGGCAACTCTGCGTCGAGAAAGTCTATCAGCACCATTTTGCTAACAGCATGTCTCACGTGACGTGTCTGTGTCTCGTTTTGGTAATTCTTGAAATATGTCAAATCGTTTCATTATTACATCGGTTACGTCAATCTATGATGACTGATCTTTGATGTTACCATTGTCATTGTTTTAGGGCACCACAAAACGCACCCATATAAGTCAGAGAACTTAATGGATAAATTTGTGTATGTTCTGATTGCTCCACAGACCCCCATCTCTCTTCCTCTCCTCCAGGCCTCCCTAGTCCCTGAATCACAATAATATTGAAATCAGGACAATTAATAATCCTACAATGGCCTCCAAGAGTTCAAGTGAAAAGAAGAGTCACACATCTTTCACTTTAAATCAAAAGCTAGAAATGGTTAAGCTTAGTGAGGAAGACACGTCAGAAACTGACAGGCTGAAAGCTAGGCCTCTTGCACCCAATTAGCCAAGTTGTAAATGCAAAGGAAAAGTTCTTGAAGGAAATTAAACATGCTACCCCAGTGAACACATGAATGGTAAGACAGTGAAACAGCCTTATTGCTGACATAGAGGAAGTTTTAATGATCAAGACCAAACCAGCACAACATTCCCTTAAGCCTCTTCACTTCTATGAGGGCTGAGGCATGTAAGAAAGCTGCAGAAAAGTCTGAATCTAGCAGAATTTCATGAGGTTTAAGGAAAGAAGCCATCTTCATAACATAAAAGTGTGGGGTGAAGCAGCAAGTGCTGATGGAAAGGCCGCAGCAAGTTATCCAGGAGAGCTAGCTAAGATCAATGATGAAAGTGGCTACACTAAACAGATTTTCAATGTAGATAAAACAGCCTTCTACTGGAAGAAAATGCCACCCATGACTTTCATAGCTAGAGAGGAGAAGTCAGTGCTAGGCTTGAAAGCTTCAAAGGACAGGCAGACTTTTGTGTTACTGGCTAATGCAGATGGTGACTTTAAGTTGAAGCCAATGCTCATTTACAATTCTGAAAATCCTAGTGCCCTTAAGAATGATGCTGAATCTTCTCTTCCTGGGCTTTGTAAATGGAATAGCAAAGCTTGGATGACAGCACATCTGTTTACAGCATGGTTTACCGAATATTTTAAGCCCACTATTAAGAATTACTGCTCAAAAACAAAGATTTCTGGCCGGGCGCGGTGGCTCAAGCCTGTAATCCCAGCACTTTGGGAGGCCGAGACGGGCGGATCACGAGGTCAGGAGATCGAGACCATCCTGGCTAACACGGTGAAACCCCGTCTCTACTAAAAATACAAGAAAATTAGCCGGGCGAGGTGGCGGACGCCTGTAGTCCCAGCTACTCGGGAGGCTGAGGCAGGAGAATGGCGTGAACCCGGCGGGGCGGAGCTTGCAGTGAGCCGAGATCGCGCCACTGCACTCCAGCCTGGGGCACAGAGCAAGACTCCGTCTCAAAAAAAAAAAAAAAAAAAAAAAAAACAAAGATTTCTTTCAAAATATTTCTGTCCACTGACAATGTACCTGGTCACCAAAGAGCTCCGAAGGAGATGTACAAGGAGATTCGTGTTATTTTCAGGCCTGCTAACATGACGTCTATTCTGCAGCCCATGGATTGAGGAGTAACTTCAATTTTCAAGTCTTATTACTTAAGATATGCATTTCTTAAGGTTATAGATGCCATAGTGATTCCTCTGATGCATCTAGGCAAAGTAAATGGAAAACCTTCTGGAAAGGATTTAGCATTACAGATGCCATTAACAACATTCAAGATCCATGGGAAAAGACGAAAATATCAACGTTAACAGGAGTTTGTAAGGAGTTGATTCCAATTCTCATGGATGACTTTGAGGGGTTCAAGACTTCAGCGGAGGAAGTAACTGCAGGTGTGATAGAAATACCAAGAGAACTAAAATTAGAAGTGAAGCCTGAAGATTTGACTGAGTTGCTGCAATCTCAGGATGAAACCTGAACTGATGAGACACTGCTTCTTAGGGATGAGAAAAGAAAGTAGTTTCTGGAGATAAAAATCTATTCCTGGTGAAGATGTTGTTGAACATTGTTGAAGTGACAACAAAGCATTCACTATATTAACATAAACTTAGTTGATAAAGCAGCAGCAGCAGAGTTTGAGAAGACTCCATTTTTTTTTTTTTTTTTTGGAGACAGCGTCTTACTCTGTCGTCCAAGATGGAGTGCAGTGGTGGGATCTTGGCTCACTGCAACCTCAGCCTCCCGGGTTCAAATGATTCTTGGGCCTCAGCCTCCTGAGTAGCTGGGAATATAAGTGCGCACCATCATGCCTGGGTAATTTTGGTGTGTGTATTTTTGGTAGAGATGGGGTTTTGCCATGTTGGCCAGACTGGTCTCCAACTCCTGACCTCAAGTGATCTGCCTGTCTCTGCCTCCCAAAGTGCTGGGATTATAGGCATGAACCACCGTGCCTCACCGAAAGAGAACTTTTTTGTAAAAGAAAGAATCAACTGATGTGGCAAACGTCATTGCTGTTTTATTTTTTAAAATTGCCACAGCCACCCCAACCTTCAGCAACCACTACTCTGGTCAACAGTCAATGTCAAGACAACACCTTCCACCAGCAAAAGAATTACAACTCACTGAAGGATGACATGATCCCTAGCACTTTTTTTTTTTAAACAATAAAATGTATTTAAGGTATGTATATTTTTTAGACATAATGCTATTGTACACTTAATAGAATACAGTATAGTATAAACCTAACCTTATGTGTACTGGGAAACCAAAAACTTATTGTGACTAATTTTATTGCGATGTTTGCTTTACTGTGGTGGTCTGGAACTGAACCCACAATAGTTCTCACATATGCCTGTATCCAGTTTACTTAAAGATTCTAAATAAAACCATACTGCTTTTATTTGAAAGAGAGAGCTAGAAAAAAGAAAAGGATATTTTACACCTGCATGCCTAGAATCTGCTGAATATTTGTGTTGCCAGCTGGACAAAACTCTTATCTATCTGCAGAATTTTGCATTTTAAGTTTTACCCCCTTCTCAATTATTCTAGAAACAGAAACAGCTGCAGTGGACAACCAACCACTTACCACAAGAACGTAAGCTTGGCATGGTTCAGGTCTATTAGAAAACAGAACCAAAGGGAGCTAAGTCTATAATTTGATGCTGTTTCTCCGACATACAATATAGCATCTTACTCCAAATCTCTTTGTTCCCTTAATAGGAACACACGTGCCTTGTGCTTTCTATATTCCAGAAGACTTTTCAGTTTTCAGAAACAACAGATTACTCATTGATTACACTGTAGTGAAAGGCCAATCATGGCCCCTGAGATAAGGGCTCACCTCTGTCCCAAGCCCTCACACTGGCCTCCACCCTCAGCCATCTCCTTTGCAAATGTGGAAGAGAACCTACATTTCACCTAGCAAGGTTAAAACCAAAGGGTGCACTGTCAGCCCCCAGAGGAGACGGAGCAAAGAAAGAATGTGAACCTACCACCAGAGTTGCTTTGACATCCAGAGCAAGACCCATTACAAATGATGGAAGGAGGGGAGGTTGTGATTACTATCTCATTCCAACTAGGATCTCTGCACGTTCTGGGGTTGAACAATAACCACCTATTATGGAAGCATGCGGAATGATCCTTCACTTTGCTCCACCCTCCTCAGAAATGTGCCAAAACTCTTAGAAACCTCACTTGGAATGAATGACTTGATAACATCAAGTAGTAAGAACCGATGAGGCTGAAAAGCTTGTCAGCTGCACTTTTAAACCTCATCAGACGTATTTCATGGGGTCAAATGACAACATACGTAGATTCTTCTGACAATATGTCTAGGGCATGCGCTAATATTACGTAAGAAAAATCTATTTTTGTCATCAGCTATATGGATGTTCCGGTGTCTAAAGAAACAGCCTACATGAAGTTAACAAAGAATGATAGCGCGAAACACAGTCACGCTATGTCTGTGGAATTTTGGCCACACAGTGGACATGACTGTCAACTGTCTCAAGCAGCCTACAATCCCATCGGTACTGGGCTTGGTGATCCCCACAGAGACCCTACCTCTGTGCCCTCTTAGTGTCTCCTGGGCCCCAGACAGTGAGGCAGGCACTTACAGTCTCAAGTGCTATTATTTGGCAAAGAGGAAGCTATGGGAGTGCAAGAAGGCACAGAAGAGGTCTTCATTTTACTATATAAAGGTGAAGCAGAAGTCACTCATTAAAATCCTGCAATCTGGATTTATAAAGATGTGGTATATTATGGTCAACACTGCAAATGTTCTTATTACCCTTCGCAGATCTACCTTATTATTTTATGATATTTAAGAATTTGGAAATAAGCTTATTTTCCTTTGATTTTAAAAGGATTTTAAATAATTCTGTGTTAGACTCCAAGAAAACCACATTTTACACATACCACATTTTACATACACCAAAACTCCTAATTCTGAATATTCTTAATACCCATCCTCTGCCTGGCCCTCCCAGCATAGCCATTATCAACAGACAAGATCTTGAGTTTCTCCGCAAAGACCTAGACCCATGCTGCCCAAGCCAGTAGCCACCCACCAAGTGAGGCTACAGAGTGCTTGAAATGAGGCTAGTTCAAACTGAGATGTGTTGTATGTATAAAACACACACAGATTTTGAGGACCTAGTATCAAAATTAATGTCAAAAACTTCAATGATTTTCTTATATTGACTTTGTATTAAATAATATTTTTGATACATTAGGTTACATCATTCAAATCAATGTCATCTGTATCTTTTTACTTATTAAAAGTTGCTCCCCAAAATTTCTACCTGGCTCAATTCTGCGAGACAGAACTGCTCTGGACAACAAACTATCTTCTCTTTTAAAGAAATTGGGACCATCTTTTGTGTTCCTAATTTCGGTTATTTACAAAAGGAATCATCTTCCCTGTCCAGCTGCTGAGATACTGTTTAATAACTGTCATCTTCTTCTTTCAAAATCATTCCAGTTTTTAACTAATCCCAGTCCCCTATTCTCTTTCTCTGAGTGGCATTTGAGAGCAAAAATTATTAATATTACCTAAATCATAACTGACTGTTACCTTGGTAATGAGAAACAGAATCCAAAGTGTTTTTTGTTTTGTTTTGTTTTGTTTTTAAAAAAAGGACAACAGCATCGTACATGTCAAAAACATGGGAAAGTGTCCCGGCTTTCTTCCTGGTCAACATTTCCTCTAAAATCTCCATTTACTTCCTCATTCTCCTCTGATTAAACAAGCTTCTCCTCTAATGTTAACAATCCTCCATGAAACTATTCGTTTTCAATTTTACTTCCCCAAGTATGCAAGTATTGGGGCCACATCGACAAATAGAACTTCCTAGGAAAATGCACTCAAAATTCCCGAAAAACAGACCTACTGTAAAACAACTCATTATAAATTGATAATATATTGTTATGCAAACAACAGATACACTGAAGTGAGGTGCTAAAGAATGAGAGCAGGCATAATCTGGTAGATTAAAGTGGTACATTCTGGAAAGCTGTGTTTTGTATTTATACATTTGATGAAAGAATGGGATAAGCAAAGTTATATTTCCAAGAAAGTTTTGCAAGGCCTTACCACCTCAAAGAAGAGGTAGGGCAGGAAAGGAGGAAATGGGCAGAAAATGAGGGAGGGGAATAAGAAGTATGGCTTATTTTTCCAAATAGCACTAATTCTTCGTTATCTGACTAGATCAGAGGATTGGGTAACAATGTGAGGTCAATGCTTGTAATGCCATTTAAGTCACATTCATCACTTCAGGGCATGGTTATGTGCGAATCTAGAATCAGAATGAGGCATCAAGCTCATTTAGAAGTTTAATAAATTTAATTTTAATGAGACATCTTGTTGGGTATTAAAATTCATGAGACTCCCAGAACAGGTTCTCTGGACCTTTATTAGAGGGTAAGAAATTTATTTGACAATTTAGCTTCTTGACCACCGGAGTAGGAAAATTCATGTCTACAAACTATACCTATGTATCCCAGAAGCTTTCTGACATTGAGTCATTTCAAATTTAGTAGCTGCATACACCGTTGGCTCCAATTAGTGACCTCTACGGGGATTTTTTTTCCTTTGGAATTTATCAGTTTATACCTGTGTGTTCATAAAATGAAGAGAATGGTTTCTGTGTGCCTTTTTAAAACAAAACACTGCTAGTGAATTACCCAGCAATATGATGAGCAGAAACAAGGTCACATTCACAATTTAAGATGAGCTCAACATCATTTATATTTAGAACGGGATCAATCTAGAATCGGTTGTCAGCTTGGCTTCTTATTAGCTGTGTGACCTTGGGCAAGTAGCTTTACCTCTCTGAGCTTCAGGGTTTTTTCTTTTTTTTAATTACTGAAATGCAAATACTTCCTCCTAACTTGCAGAGTTTTGAAATGAAGGAATGATATACGTAAACAAGCAGGTCAGCTGTCTACACAGAGTATGCAGACATGTTTATAGATATATGAAGCCTCCTGGTGATTATGTGTCATAGTGTTGTGTTGAGGCTTTGGGCAGAGCTCAGCATAGTTCTGTCTTGAGTTAAAAACAGGGTTTTATTCTTTGAATTCTACTTGAATTCCTCTTGGCTGGTGAAGTTCATATGTGCTATGACTGACTACCTTAATACACTGCCAAGTGTTTCTTAATGCCTCGGATTGATAGAGCAGCGGTTCTCAAACGTTCACGCACTTGTTAAAATCAGATTCTGATTGGGCAGGGGTAGGGTGGGGCCCCAACTTCTACATTTACAAGTGGCCCCCAGGTGATGTCCCTGGTGCTGGTCACCCTAGGCAGCCAGACCACTTGACAGACCTTCTGTGCCTCTACGCTGCTGACGGCGCGGGATAATTCCTTATGGTTGCACAGGGCACTCCTGTGCACTGCGGGAAGTTTAGCAGTATCGCTGGTCTAGACCCCACTAGATGCCAATGACCCCATCACTCCACGCCAGCTGCGACAGCCAAAATGTCTCCTGACATCGCCATTGCCAGATGCCCTCAGGGCGGCAAAACCGCCAGGTGGAGAACCGCTACCATGTAGGATGCTACCATCAAGGTGCGCCCACAGCAGCAACCTTGGAGCAGGCAGGCAAGTATCCTCCAGGCTAGCTTGCAGACGGGGAAACTGAGGCTGGGCACCTCTCAAGGTCGCACGCCTGGATAACCGAAAAGACAGCGCGGAGGTCCCGCCGCGCCGCACTCTGCGGAGAGGACGCGGAGCCGCGCGCCCGCCCGGTGGTCCCCAGGGACCGCGCCCACGTGCTCCAGCCCCACGGGCGGCCCGCCGACCGGAAGCGGGTGCTGGGGCCGCGTAGACGCCGCGGGCGCTCCCGGCCGCCGCCCGACTTCGGGGCCGGCGGGGGGCAGAGCGCGCGGGAGCCCGAGCGTCCCTGCTCGAACACCGCCCCGCCGCGGCCCCCCGGTCGTGACGTATCCCGCGCCGACCGTTCCCACGCCCACCCAAGACCGCCCTCACGGGAGGCGGCGGCCGCACACTACCCACCCAGAAGAAGTCCGTCCATGTCAAAGATGAGGTGGGTGACGGGCTGCGGCGGGGGCGCCGCCATGGTGCCACCTTCTGGATTTGGGTGGGGGCGAGGAGGAAGTGCGCGCGCACCCGCCCGCCCCGCGCACGCGCACTCAGGGCCTCCTCGCGCGACCGGGCCGCTCTGCGCACGCGCCTCCCGCGGCCCCTCGCCGGGCGGCTCGGAGCCCTAGCGTCCTGGGCTGCCTAGTGCCGCTCCGCGCACGCGCACCTCGGGCTTTCGCCGCAGCAGCAGCTGCAGACCAGGGATACGTCGCGGGCCGGCGTGATACGTTTACCCGTATCAACTCCTCCTCACTTCACACCCGGAATCGGTCCAAGCTACGCAGTCAGCGGCCGCGCAGAGCCGAGAGGGCAAATTCACTGCTTGACTTTGTATCAGGTGTGAATGAGGAAGGAGGGACAGTACAAGGGACTGTCGAGTGAGGAGAGGGGGTTGAAGTTTCTCAGGGTGGCATCACTGCTAGCCATCAGGTTGCAGACAAATGGCCTTGGTCACGAGGTCCCTGGGTGGGTTCGCCCGAGCCGCCAGCCCCTGGACCGTGGGTGGGTTTTTCTCAGTTTCGCTTGCCCGCCTCCCTGCGGTCCTGGACCGCGACTTGAACCGGCAGCCGCGCATGCGCAGTGTGCGGAGAGGCTGCACCACCTCCGTGCCTGCATCTCTGAGTGTCCCAGGCTGGTGCATTGTCCCAGAGCAAAGCCAAGCTGCGCAAGGAGGATGCTGAAATAATACTAATAGTCAACATGCCTTGCTGGTTGTTCCTTCTTAGGTATCATCTGTCTTTTGGGCTGCTCTGAGTTTTCTTCCTTTTTTAACTTTTCAAATGCCACCTAAACAGCTTTCTTTTTTTCCCCCCCCTTGCCATCGTCAGAAAAATACTTTCTTGTCCCTGTTTGTATTTTGTGTTCGTTTATGCGGTATATTCACGTTTAAGGACAAGGATTGGACCTTTTGAGAAGCGGAAATAAGACAGTTTTAAGACTTTAAAAATGTGAGGGTGTGTGGGGCGCAGTGGCTCACACCTGTAATCCCAGTACTTAGGGAGGCAGAGGTGGGAGTTGCGGGAATACTTTGAGCCCAGGAGTTTAAGAACTGTCTGGGCAATATAGCGAGACCCTGTTATCCACAAAAGGGGAAAAAGATAAAAACAAAACAAAACAAAAAACAGGTGTAAACATAAGGATGTATTTCTAGTTTAGTGCCTACATGGTGGATGGGGGCACGCCTGGATTCAGCAAGAATTATCATCTGTGATAGACAAAATGCATCTGTGTCTGTTTCCTCCTGGGTAAAATGGAGGTGATAAAGGAGGTGAGGCAGGCCAGGCCCTTAGTACTAGTGCATAATATATAGTCAATAAAATTATGTGTTCTTACAGCTGGTGCTATAAGATAGCTTCCCCCGTTTAATGCAATCGTGATTTCCCTTTGAGGACACGGAATTTCAGAGAAGGCAATTTATGAGCAAATTAGGAAGGGACTTGTGTGACTCAAATACAGTCATTCATGGTTTCTGTATTAGTTTGCTACAGCTGCCATAATAATGTACCACAGACTAAGTAACCTAAACAACAGATGTATATTGTGTCACAGATCTGGAGGCCAGAAGTCCTAGATCAAGATGTCAGCAGTCTTAATTCCTTCTGAGGTCTGTGAGGAAAGGACCTGTTCCAGGCCTTTCTCCTCAGCTTGAACCTGCTTGCTTTTCCCTGTATCTTGTCCTGTTGTCTTCCCTCTGTGTGTGTCTCTGTGTCCAAATTTTCTCCTTTTTTAAGAACACCATTCTTATTGGACTAAGGACCACCCTAATGACTACATTTTAATTTGATTACCTCTGACAAGATCCTGTTTCCAAATAAGGTCACATTCTGAGGTAGTGGGGATGAGGACTCCAACATATATTTTTGGGGAACACAATTCCATAATAGATGCATTCCACACACATTGCTGTGGTACCTACAGTAAGTATGACAGTATTTTCCACCTGGAGTCTTTAGAATTCTCCCTCCCAGTTTCTTTCCATTCTCTGGAAACAAATGGATGCACACATGTCAGAGTTTCTGTTATTTTTTTGGTATCGTAACCACCTCACATTTCTGTTTAGTCATTAAATTAAAAAAGAGTATTTTTCTTTTTCTCTTCTTTTTTTCTTTTTTAATGAGACAGAGTCTCACTCTGTCGCCCAGGCTGGAGCACAGTGGTACAATCTCTGCTCACTGCAGCCTCAGCATCCCGGCTTCAAGTGATTCTCCTGCCTCAGCCTCCCGAGTAGCTGGGATTACAGGCACCAGCCACCACACTCAGCTAATTTTTGTATTTTTTAGTAGAGATGGGGTTTTACCATATTGGCCAGGCTGGTCTTGAACTCCTGACCTAGTGATCTGCCCACCTCGGCTTCTCAAAGTGCTGGGATTACAGGCGTGAGCCACCAGGCCTGGCCAATAAAGAGTATTTTTCAAAGGAAAAAAGGCCCCAGTCCCATTTTGACGAAATGGCAAAGCCTCACAGTGATTGTGGAAGAGACAGATTGGGAAACCTTAGGTACTTCAGCTCTCCATAGATGTGAAAACATGCTTCACATTATTTTTTTATGTCTTATTTTCTATACTTTTCAGTAACATCACTTCTATGCATAAGATGGAAGACTCGTCTTTGCTTAAAAAAAAGAAAACAAACTGACTGTGTGAATGCTTCTCTGTCACAAGCTAGTTTGGAAAAGAATGAAATTTTGTTCTAGCAATGTGGTTTGTACACATATAACAAGTTAGTTTTTAGCTTTTCATAATTCTCCAACAGCCAAAGATGGCCAGCTTCTATGCTGACAGGGATGCATTTCCTTCCATGAATTACAGTTTACTTTTGTACAATTGTGTTTTCGCCATGGGACAATAAGTTACTTTTCCTGACAATTTTAAGATACAGTAGAAATGATCCAGTAAACTACGGTATGATGGCATCAAAAACACATTAACAATGGAACAGATAAACAGACGATCTTCTTTCACACAACATACAAACTTAAACATGCCATTTATTGTGTGTGTATACATATGCCATCCTCTATGAAGTCTTAGCTTATTTCAACTTCCTTAGTTTGTTGTCCTGGTTCCTGTGTCTCTGTGCTTTTGTTATCTGTTGTATTTGATTTCCAGTCTGCTATATCTGTTTTCTGTGAGCCCCCTTTGCCCCATTATTCTCTTTACTTTTCTGGGGCACACATCTTGCCCAGTGTAGATGGAGGGTAACAGGTTGGACTAGGGACCATCTTTCTCAGTGGCTGTACACAGTCCACTTTTCTTGATGATGCTGAGAGACCAGAAAGCTCTGACTTCATCTGATGGGGCCTCAATTTGAGCTCCTTGCTGCAGACTTACCTGCCTTCTTCCCCTATATAGCTGGCTTAGCAATGTTGACTTAGGAAGTCTCTTGCTTCAGAGGCACTGAATATTCTCACCCCTTCCCGTTGCTGGTTTCCTCCCAGCCCAGTGAGCTCTGGAAGGGAGCCTGACATAAATGGCTGAATTCGCCACTCCTGGTTTTGTACTCTCGGACGTATCTGGTACTTGTGTGTGGGGAGGGTCATTGTTTTTGAACCCCTTCACCATCAGAGTACAAACTGGCTCTGAGCGAGAGATCCGGTTTGCTTCTCTGCAGTGGTGGATAACAGATGTGATCTGAACTGGTAGTGCCAGCATCTACTGGGAGCTCACTAGAAATGCAAAATCCCAGCTGCCACCCCCAGACTGACCGACTCAGCATCTGCCTTTCAACCAGGACATCCAATGGTCTAGACCATTGACCCCCTCCGGGGTATACCAGCTACTTCATTGTGGGGAGGGGGCTTAGGATTATTATTATTGTTGTTATTTTATTTATTTGGTTTTTTTTTTGAGACGGAGTCTCGCTCCGTCGCCCAGGCTGGAGTACAGTGGCGCGATCTCGGCTCACTGCAAGCTCTGCCTCTTGGATTCACGACATTTTCCTGCCTCAGATTCACGACATTTTCCTGCCTCAGCTTCCCAAGTAGCTGGGACTACAGGTGCCCGCCACTATGCCCCCGGCTAATTTTTTTGTATTTTTTAGTAGAGGCGGGATTTCACCATGTTAGCCAGGATGGTCTCGATCTCCTGACATTGTGATCCGCCTGCCTAAGCCTCCCAAAGTGCTGGGATTACAGGCGTTAGCCACCGCGCCCAGCCAGGATTATCATTTTAATGTAAAGAAGTAGCAAATGTGTTAAGTTTACCAACATTTATTTTTCTTTTATTTTATTTTTTGAGACAGGATCTCACTGTGTCGCCCAGGCTGGAGTGCAGTGGCATGATGTTGGCTCACTGCAACCCCACCCTTCCGGGTTCAAGCGATCCTGCCACCTCAGCCTCCTGGGTAGCTGGGACTGCAGGTGCCCACCACCATGCCTGGCTAATTTTTGTATTTTTTAGTGGAGACGGGGTTTCACCATGTTGGCCAGGCTAGTCTTAAACTCCTGACCTCAAGTGATCCACCTGCCTTGGCCTTCCAAAGTGCTGGAAGTACAGGCAGGA